AGCATCACTATGAACAAAGCTAGTGGAGGTAATGGAATTCCAGCTGAATTATTTCACATCCTAAAAGCTGATGCTGTGAAAGTGTTGTACTCAACATGCCAGCAAATTTGGAAAACTCAGCAGTGGCTACAGAATTGGAAAAGGTCAGTTTTCATTCCAATCCCAAAGAAAGGCAATGCCAAGCAATGTTCAAACTACCATACAACTATACTCACCATACATGCTAGGAAAGTAATGCTCAAAATTCTCCAAACTAGGCTTCAACCGTATGCAAACTGAGAACTTCCAGATGTTCAAGCTGGATTTAGAAAAGGCAGAGGAACCAGAGATCAAATTACCAACATCCACCGGATCATAAGAAAAAGCAAGAGAGTTCCAGAAAAACATCTGCTTCACTGACTACTCTAAAGCCTTTGACTGTGTGGATCACAACAAACTGTGGAAAATTCTTAAACAGATGGGAAAACCAGACCACCTGACCTCCCTCCTGAGAATTCTGTATGCAGGTCAAGAGGCAACAGTTAGAAGCAGACATGGAACAACAGACTGGTTCCAAATTGAGAAAAGAGTATGTCAAGGCTCTATATTGTCACCCTGCTTACTTAACTTCTATGCAGAGTACATCACATGAAATGCCAGTCTGGATGAAGCACAAACTGGAATCAAGATTACAGGGAGAAATATCAATAACCTCAGAGATACAGATGACACCACCCTTATGGCTAAAAGCGAAGAGGAACTAAAGAGCCTCTTGATAAAGGTGAAAGAAGAGAGTAAAAAAGCTGGCTTAAAACTCAACATTCAAAAAACGAAGATCATGGCATCCAGTCCCATCACTTCATGGCAAATGGATGGGGAAACAATGCAAACAGTGACAGACTTTATTGTCTTGGGCTCCAAAATCACTGCAGACGGTGACCGCAACCATGAAATTAAGATGCTTGCCCCTTGGAAGAAAAGCTATGGCCAACCTAGACTGCATATTAAAAAGCCAGAGACAGTACTTTGCTGACAAAGGTCTGTCTAGTCTAACATATGGTTTTTCCAGTAATCATGTATGGATATGAGAGTTGGGACTATAAAAAAAACTAAGCGCCAAAGAATTGATGCTTTTGAACTGTGGTGTTGGAGAAGACTCTTGAGAGTCCCTCGGACTGCAAGGTCAATCCTAAAGGAAATCAGTCCTGAATATTCATTGGAAGGACTGATAGTGAAGCTGAAGCTCCAGTACTTTGGCCACCTGATGTGTAGGACTGACTTGTTAGAAAAGACCCTGAAGCTGGGAAAGACTGAAGGCAGGAGAAGGAGACCACAGAGGATGAGATGGTTGGACAGCATCATTGACTTGATGGACATGAGTTTGAGCAAGCTCTGGAGTTCGTGATGAACAGTGAAGCCTGGCGTGCTGCAGTCCACAGGGTTGCAAAGAGTCGACTGAGTGTCTGAACTGAACAGAGAATCCTTTCCTGACCTACCTATCCAGAGAGGCCTCTTTCTATATATAGATATCAAGGACTGAAATAGCCATGTTTATTCTTTGTTTACACACTTATTTTCTATTATTCCCCACTTGAATGGAAGATTCAGGAAGACTGGAACTTGTCTCCTTTCTATCGCTGTATTCCCATAGGAATTCAATATTTACTGAATAAATTGGGGGCATTACAGAACTGATCTGTTCACTTTTTTTCCTGTTAACTTATAAAAAATATTTATTTATTCAGCTTCATTGGGTCTTAGTTGCGGCACATGGGTTTAGTTGCTCCCCAGCACGTGGGATCTTAGTTCCGGGACTGAACTGCCATCCCTGGCATTGTAAGGCAGATTCTTAACCACTGGACACCAGGGAGTCCCCCCACCCACACCCCCTCACCCCGTTCCCACCCCACCCCCAGCCAACATTTTACTTTTAACAAGCACTATTACCCATTGCATTCTGCCAGGGACTGTTTGGAATTTAAATCTCTAGAAGACACAATAGTGGACCTACCTTCAAGAAGCTTATTAAGAGAGACACAAAAGGCACCATTTGCAAAGGATAAACCACACATGCTACAGAAATATGAGACATGGGATTAAAATGAGAAGCTGCTATGGAGGTAATTGCCCCATTTGTGCTGAGACTTGAAGACTGGCTAAAACTTGGATAGTTGAAGAATAGGAGTAAGAGGAGCATTCTAGACAGAAGAACTGGCATCAAGATGTGGAGGCAGATTTTGAGAAGAGTCAACAGGAGGACTAGCCAAACATCAGTATTATACTAGGAATTATACTAGGAAAAGTAGGCTGGAGAAGGTTATAAATCTTCAAATGCAGACTAAGTGTCTGAAAAGATCTTTAGGCACAAGTGCAGGGTATCTCTCTGTAGGTCTTTTTAAGCAGGAGATCAGCATGATCATAGCTCAATACTACTACAGGAAAACCAGTCTGGTCAGATGAACTGGAGTCTCAGGCTACTGAAACAGACTGGGCCAAAAATAAGGCTCTGAACTGAGGTTTAAACATTGTAGAAAGTCACAGACAGGTCACACAGAAACTGCAGTCAAAAAAATCTGGGTTGGAATACTAAGTCTATATTTAACAGTTGTTTAAGGCTTTTAAAAAAAATGGCTTTATTATGATTTATAACTCATCCAAAGTATACAATTAAATGGCTTTCAGTATATCCAGAGCTGTATGCTTATCACTGTAATCAATTTTAGAACATCTCATTACTTCAAAAGGAAACCCAGTTCCTTAGCCATAATTCCCACATGTCCCCAGCCTCCCTAGACATGAGCAACCACAAATCTACTTTCTACTAATCTCTATATATTTGCCTATTCTGGACATTTAATATGAATGGAGTCATATGGTTCTTTATGACTGGCTTCTTTTCATTTGGCATAGTTTTTCCAAGGATCATCAATACTGTAGCATGTATCAGTACTTCCTTCTTTTTATTGCCCAATAATATTCCATTATATGGACATACCACATGTTATTAATCCATTCACCAGTTGATGGGTGTTTGGGCTATTCTGCCCTTTTGCCTATTTAGAATAATGCTGCTATGATAATAGGTAAATCAGCTTTAACATCTGTTAAAGAGATAATAATTCTTATTAAGTTTTAATGTTTGTAAAGAATAGTGCCTGGCACAGAGTAATGTTGAAAAAATATTAATTCCCTTCTTCCTACTTTGCAGGTAAATTGAAAGTTACTTATCTTTCTACCCTCATCAAACTGTACTACCCTAAACCTAGCAAAACCTTTTCTCAGTCAAATATGATTCTCCTACCTCTGAGAAGATATCTTCCTCATTTCTTTCAGACTCCATCTTCTTTAGCTAACAGAATTCAGAGGCTCCCACTTCTCTTTCTCTACTTACTAACTGATGAATGAATATTATCCTGTCTTTTAGTTATGTTCCTATTTACACAAAAATTCCAAAAACTATTTTTTTGAATCTTTGTAACACCTTTCTTCCGTTCATCATCCCCTCTTCTTTATCTTACACTCCATGTTTACATCCTGGTGCTACCTCAACTAAACAGCACAAGATGGAAATTTGGTTATCTGTAAACACTCCCTCTTGCCTAGTTTCCATGCTATCAACACTAATGTTACTAACATTAACCTTTTTTTTTTCCTGATAAATGCTGATGTTAAGGACCATCTTGGAAATTATTTATACAACACAATTCATTACCTATTTTCATATATATATATATTTAAATACGATTGTGATTTTAAAACACTGCCAAATCTTAAAAGTGACCCATATAAATTTTGAAAAACAAAATGGTAACCTTTATAAGGTTAAGTGTAAGTCGACCAGTTGTGTCCGAATCTCTGTGACCCCACGGACTGTCCATGGAATTCTCTAGGCAAGAATACAGAAGTGGGTTGCCATTTCCTTCTCCAAACCTTATAATTTTCCAATTAAGAAAAATCTGTCGGAACTTTTTCCCCCCATTCTATTTATACACTTGTTTCTAGTACCTGATATGTTAAGGAATACAACAGCTACCGATTTGGAGTTTTAATTTTAAATAAGAAACTCTATAACCCCCAGAATTTTATTAACTCAGTCATTATTTCTGTTCTTTGCTCAACAAGCCAGAACCAGAAATACTAATTAGATGTTATACCCCTTTTCACTACTGGGCCATAATTACTTTGAACCCAGCAAGGCCAAACAATGATGGTTCTTCCTGTCTGGCGGTTTCATTCTCTCTCTAAGGTGGCAGACATAGGTTTGGAGTGATATTTACGAAAGTTGTAGACGACACGGCAGAATGGCAGAGTATCAGTCACCAGTAAGTAGTGAAGCCCTAGATGAAGAGAGTGGCTCCAAGAGTGTAAAGAAAGAGGTGAAGGTGCAACTTTGCCCCGAGATACACTCATTCCCGTGGTCCCTTCTCAAGAACTCTTGAGAAAGTGGGTTCTTCTAGAAAGAAAGAAGGGTCTGTTTTTTTAAAAGGACAGGCATCGTAAACTACAGCTGTAAAACTCTCCCGGATACTAAGACGAATGAGCAGAATACGCAGTCTTCGGAAACTCAAGTGTGGGGAGACTCGGGGGTACGGGATAAAGAAATACAAGTGCTCAGATTATCTCGGGTGGAGAGACATCGCCTACTGGTGGGGCCCAGGCGGGAGCGCCGCCCAGAACCGCGCAGGGGCCCCGGGCGGAAAAGCTGGGCCGGGGGCCTTTCATCCAGGACGGGACTTCGCTACCAGGGCCCGGCCGAGCATAGCCCAGACGTTGCCGGTCGCCGGGGTGAAGGCCTCGTCCTCCCGCTCCCCGCCCATCTCTGGCACCGCCAGAACAAGGGCTGGGAAGGAAAGCAGGAAGAAATCCTGACAGGAAAAGCAGGAAGAAATCCTAACAGGGACCTGGGAGCCAAAGCAACAAGTGCCAACCGCGGCTCTCCAAGATACTGCTGGTCTGGGGCAGGAAAGCAGGGCCCGGCATGCTGGCCTTCCCTTTCTCAGCCTCTGTCCCACCGCACTCACTCTGCCACACGACGCTCTTCAGCCCCCTTTCCGTCACCGGCGGCGCCATCTTCCCAGACGCTGTGAAGGAGCAGCGGCCGCCTCCCACTCGAAGCCTGTTTCAGCTGTGAGAGCGACTTCTGGCGGGCCCCGCCCTTCGCTGCGGGGACGGCCCCGCCCACACCCACGGACCGCGCCCACAAGTGACGTCACGGGCTTCTTATGGGATTCCCGCCCAACCCCAGACTGAGGCTGCGCAGTGTGGGTGAATTCTCCTTGGCCAGTTGCGCTCCCCCTAGCGGGAGGCTCTCAGCCAAATTTCGATGTCCTGGGGTGTCAGAAACTGAAACCGTACCAATGGATTGTGAGCTAACACCGCCTAAGGAACTCGAATTCACGCATACGATTCATGAAAAAGAGAGGGGTTCTTCGGTTTACAAAAGAATTCTTCACTTTGAGAAGGGATTTATAATAGACTTCACTCAGCTACCGAATAGAAAATTTAGCCTCCAAAAAAGTTTATTCACTTCTCAAGGACATAATAATTATGTAGAACTATGAGGTGCAGCCCGCTGTGCCCAGAACTGTGCAGGACTTTCAGGCAAGTCAAAGAAAGGAGAGACCCACTTCTGAAGAGTTAAAAATCTAATTAGATAGCTCAGTTCCTGGCATGCTTGAAGGCAGCAAATATTGGTTGAAATAGTGAATGCCATTATGTTGAAAATATACATAAATGAACCAATAAAACAATACTTAGTCAACAAGCATTAATTCATGTGGAAGGGACTATCAGTGCTTTAGATTTAAAAGAGGGGAATTGCTGATTCACAAAGGAGATGATCTGAGTTCAGACTTAGGGAAAGTTTAGGCAGAGATCTGTTTCTTGAGATGGTTATTTTGAGACTTGAAATCAAGGTAATCAGTCATAGGGGAATTCTGGGGAGGTTCAGTGCTTAGGATTCCAGCACTTTCACTGATGAGTGAGTGGGTTCAGTCACTCATGCTGGGGGGGACTAAAATCCCACAAGCCCTGAGACCAACAACAAACAACAAGTTATCAATCATAAATTAAAGCAGTGTAGTTTCTGGGACCCTCAACTGTAACATAAACATCATGCTAAGTCTCCTCAGTCGTGTCCGACTCTGTGCGACCCCATAGACGGCAGCCCACCAGGCTCCCCAGTCCCTGGGATTCTCCAGGCAAGAACACTGGAGTAGGTTGCCATTTCCTTCTCCATACATAAATATCATATACACTAGCAAAAAGCAGACTTTCTCACACTGATTTGCAAAGAACCAATGGTCTTAATTCAAGTTGGTCACATAGGGAAGTGGAAATGGTTAGTTTCTACTAGTAATAATAATGGTTAACATTTACTGTGGATCTAGTACATTCCAGGCAGCATGCTAAATTAATTATCTCATTAATCCTCACAATCAAGGAACCTGAGGCGTACTGAAACTAAATAACTTGCCAAGGATGCACAGGGGTGGTGCAGTGGGAAGGAAAATAAGGTTTGAGTTACACAGATAGGGCAGGCTGTGAGATGACTTGCAATTTTTGCTCTTTGGGAGAGAGAAAGAAAATGAAGGATAAAAACAACCGTAAAATGGGTTCAAGCAAAAACCTATGGCATGAATGGCTTTTCATTCTAGACTTAATTGGGCCAAGCTGGGGCTCTGGCCTCTTTCAAATCTACTTTAAATAGACTTAGCTGCTCAAAATTTTAAACAAATGCACACATTATATTTCTCTCCCTTTTCAATTTTAAATCAGATTCTGCTTTATATAGCAGGGTTGAGCCCCCAGCCATAAGAAAAAGACATGTTACAGACTCATACTTCTAAAATGAAGCTCGTTGTCCTCAAAGATCGAACCAAGACAGAGGAATGAGGAATGAATGAAAGTGTCTTGAGAAGAATGACCATGTGCCAGGGGTAACACAGAAACGGCCTTCTGGGTTGGAAGTTTGACTTGGGTCACATGGGGTATAACTGTGATTCATGCTCCTGAAGGCCAGATTCCAAGGTGGCAATGTAGTATAGTGGAGCAAATGTGGGCGTTAGGAGCATGTAGACATGGGTCCTCAAACCCTGGATTGTCCTCTTATTAGCACTATGACTTGAAACACTCCAGTGTCATTGCATTTATATGTTGAAGGTGAGTATAGTATCTAAAACCTCACAACAACCCAACAAAATGATCATCTTTATAGCAATTTTACAGATGTGAAAACTGAGATTCAGAGGGAGACATTAAATTATGTAAAACCTCAAGATGGCTCCCAAATCACTGGCTTTTCCATCATGCTACGTTGCCTAAGTTTCACATAACCTCTCTGAGCTGTCTCTCTAGTCTCCTCTAGTTGGTTTACCTAAACAGATTGAACAAAAAATTTGAATTCTCTGAACAGGATATAGCAGAGTGGAAGACAGAATCCACCAACTAAGCAGAGATGAAAAATCTGTATTGCATAATTTGTAGAGCAGATAGATACACAGTTGAAATAATTGAGACTGAATGTAAAAGCTCTTGAGTTAAGGCAGATCACTCACTCACCATCCTATATCCAGGTCTTCTTTAATAATTTATTAATTAATCATGTTAACCCAGAGAAACATTTTCCATAAAAATATCATAGATTAGTAGGTCTGATCAATGCTACATACTTATTTGACCCCCTGATAATCTGTGTTTCAACTGGTTAGCTATGAGAACCTGGATGAATTCCTTGACCTTTCTGGGTCTCATTTTTGTTATATATACATAAAGGAATATTATCATTTAGCTCAGAAAGTTGTTATGAGGATGAGTATAGGAAAAGCACTTGAAAGCATGTAGTATGTGCGACATCCGTGTTTTGGTTTTATGTTCACCCAATGTGGACCACATTGTCTTCTGTGGAATTATGACCAAAGCAGCCCGACTTAGATGCCTAGCTAAGTAGACAGCCATTTCATTTTTTCTGTATTCTGGTATTTACAGGGTATGAGTGTACTGGTCCCAGCAGCCCCCTAGTGTCCTGGGACCAGGGATCCTGACCTTCCATTTGGCTTTTGCCCTCGGCTCTTTGCCTGTTCCAGTCAGTCATGGACACAACTCTTATCAGAGGGCACACACTGCCAGAGACTGGGCTTAGCACACAGTCTGTCCTGGGCTCTGAACCACAACCCGGAACACTGCCCCAGTTCACCCATGGTCCCCTCACAGGGCACGGACCCACTCTGAACCCTTCAGATCTCGTCACCAATCTTTTGTCACGTGCCACAGCCCTCTAGCTTCTGTTAAGTTAATTAAACAAGAAGGCCATTAGACTGAGGTGGCTCTAATACCTTAGCCACCTTTGTGAACAAACCAAAACCTAAGTCTTTATGTGTCAAGGTTAAGAAATCAAAATCTAAGGACAAGTAATCACAAATAGCCAACTAGGATTTCCCAAATAAGACAACCACTATAGCTACATAGCTATTTTTTTTATAGCCAGTCAAGTAATATCCTTGCTTTGTTTCCACCTCTTTTCAGTAAAAGTCTCCCCTCTCCCACCAACCCCTGCCCCCAGCTCCTGTCAGTAGAGTACTCCTAAATCATTTCGGTTTCGGTGCTGCTGAATTCAAATCAATTTCTGCTCAAATAAACTCTTAAAATGTTTTACATGCCTGAGTTTATCTTTTAACATGTTTCAGCTTCCTACCGCTGAAATTTTGCTTCAAGGAAGAATGGGGCCAATGCAAGTCTTTTAAGGTTCCCAAACTTGGCCACAAGGCAGAAACACTTGGTGAGTTTGTTAAAAGTATGGATTCCCAGGTCTGGTCCCAAACCTGCTGAGTTAGAATCTCCAGGGGATGGTACCAGGAAGTCTGTATTAAATAATGAGTTCCCCAGCTGATGTCAATGCACCTAGTCCGACTCCTGTTCATCCACTGGTATTTAGGAACAAAAGTGAACTAAATTCGGTCCTCTTCTGTGTGTACTGTCTGACTCAGCGATTTCTATTTTTCTGGAATCTAAGTTCTTTGACTTGCCGTCTTTTCAAGTGCAAATGCACTTGACTATCTCATCAGTGGCACATTTGTATCTCAGTCTCACACAGAAAGGGAAAGCAGACACAGAAAAGGAAGTTTGCTTTTCCCTCCCAGTGTACCTCAAGCCTAATTCCATGCTCCAATTCCCTCTGGGCAGAGTTCTATGGTTGTTCCTAACTACAGACAGTCTTAGTTCCACAGCTAGGCTTCTGGGGAGCAAACACTTTAGTTACGTGTGTTACACAAGTCCAGCTTGCACTATCTTTTAATAAGGTTACTGACACTCGAAGGACAATATTTTTTTAGGTACAACAGATTTATCATTGCCTTTTCTCTCCAAAAAAAGAGCAATTACAGTGTGAGTGAGGAATAGAGCCAACAAGATCAATGGTCCTTCCCTCCAAAGATGCATGTATGTCAGTCTGCCACAGTTTGGGTCTCTGGCCCTGACTGTCCCTCCATCTGAAGTCTTTGTTTATTCAAAAGCATGACTACAATCATTCCAGTAACAGGCTAGCAACTCTGCTTTCCCAGACACTCACACAGAGGTGTCAACACATGATGCTTTCTTTCACTTGGAAAAGCCTGCAAATGGCTCGGCTTCCTCCTAACTTTATTATTATAATTTTTTTCCTCCTTCTAACTTTAGGTGAGGGTGTTATTTCCCACAGGTGGCCCTGGCAGCTGCTGCTATCCAGCCGCAGCCAAAGTCCTTGTTGAGTTTTGTTTTGGATGAGTGCAGTCCATGTGTGGTGGCTTGATTTTGACTTCTTTGAGAATGGACGCTTCCAACTCTTGAATGGCTAGAGAGCTGCATGGCAAGTGCTGGGTCGCTGAAACACTTATGAAGTGGGTGTGTTGTAGTCTCTACTATGTCTGGGTGTAAGAAATCTCCAAGAATTTCTGCTACGCAGACCTTTCACATCTCCAGGACTTTCCCAGTGTGCTGGCTCACTCTGGCAGCCTTTCACAAGACTTTCTGGATTAATTTCTCCCCTGAGTCTTCTCTGCAGCAGATCTTGAACTCCTGTGCCATTGAGGACACACCTGACCTGGAACTCAGGAAGTGGAGTCAGAGCAGTTCTTCTAAAGGCCAAAAGAGCTTGTCCTATCCTAGAGGCATTTTGTATTCTAATAGACATTTTCCATCTCTAATCACACTAACAATTAAGGAACCTCTGCAAAAGATATGAGAAGAAATTTTTAAAGCAAAGAAAAAAATAACACTTTGCCTTTGAATTATAACATTTCAATTTAAATTACTCACTAGTCAAGTCTCTGTTTTCATCCATGGTTCACTGTGTCATTCCACATTTCTCTTCCCTCTGTAAATCACTGAAAAGGCAAGGAAGGGAGGAAGCCACAAAATGCATTAGTATGGAGACATTTTCTTAAGTTAAAAAGCCCTCAGATGTCAGAGGTTCAGATTAGCGTTTCGGTTTGAAATACTATTTTTGCAGCACTTCACAGCAAGTAAGCAGAAAAGTAAGATAAACTGAACCATTCAAAGGGCAAGAAGAAACTGATCTTCAGGTTCTAAGTAACCAGGATGTTCTCTCTTCCGCTTTGTGAAATGAATCCTCCCCAAGAGTCTCTTGGACCTCAGACTGCTTACCCAAGACAAAGGACTTTCCTCTCCACCCCCAAGCCTTTTATTTACTGACCTTATTTTGAGCCTGTCATTGGGTCTAACAGTTTATATCTCCTTTAATCTTCATAACATCTTATGGTAAGTTTGTTCCAATTTTCAGATGAGGAAACCTGTACTTAGAATTGAAGCACCTTGCCTAAGGGAAAGGGACAGTGGCAGGATTTGAACCCAGGTCTGTCTCTTAAAAAACCCATTCATGCTGTTGAAAAGCTTTAGGATAATCCAAGAGTTAAGCAAGACCAAAAGCCTTAGACCAACAAGATTCCCAAAGCTTCCCTTAGCATATCTAGAGGCCCCATGCCAGCTAGGGACCTACTCTGACTAGTCCTGTGTATAGAGAGGAGAAATGCTGAAACTGGACAGAAATTTAGAATTTCTCCCTTAATACAGTGAATTCTATATGATGTAGAGACACCCAAATAATAATTTTTGAGAGTCTTGCAGAATTTCTACACCAATCTCTTAAAGAAAAGGTCAGATCTCTTTAGGTTGAAGACTGAAACTCATTAAGAAAGGAGAAGTAATAATCAAGGCCAGCCCAGAGGGACATAGGAAGTGGACAGCAGTGACCTAGAGCAGTGCTTCTCAAACTTGGAGAGTGTTAGAATCACATGGGAACCTGATAGAAACACAAGGGCCCACTTCAGCAGGCATGGATCCCTACATCCTTTGCTAGCTCTCCAAGAGATTTTGATACACACCAGTTTGAGCACTACTACCTAAGCAGTAACCCGCAAACTTGAATATGCATGTGAATCACCTGGGGATTTAGTAACTCTGCATGGGGCCTTAAACTATACATTTTGAACAAGGTTTCTGGTGATCTCGAATATCAAGGTCTAAGAGTGATGGTTTTCAAGCATTTTTTTTTTAAAGTATCATCTCTTTAACAAAATCTTAGGGAAGACCAATATATAATACATCACTCTTCACCTCCTAGGGATGCCCAAGATACTTCTATTACCCCTCTGTGGCTCAGGAGAAATATTGAATTAAAACCGTCATAATACTGGAAAGAGGGTCCAAGAATGCAGACCCTGGTCCATGTACAGTCTACTGAAGACCAGAGCTTATGGTCATTAGTTCTTTGGGAGTTTTTTTCAAGTAATTATAATTTAGAACTTTACTCATAATTTATTTTCAATAAGCCAGGTCTGTTTCCCTGTAATCACTAGAAATAGTAACCCTTTAAAAATTAATAGGGATTATTCTTATTTCAGAACTGCTCGTGGGGCTCCCCCGGTTCCTCAGCAGAAAAGAATCCTCCTGCCAATGCAGGAGATGCAGGTTCAGTCCCTGGGTCAGTAAGATCCCCTGGAGAAGGGAAGGGCAATCCACTTCAATATTCTTATCCAGGAGATCCCATGGACAGGAAGGCCTGGTGGGCGACAGTCCATGGGGTCACAAAGAGCTGGACACAACTTAGTGTCTAGACAGCAACAGCAGGTGGGGCAAGAATTAGAAAACATGTGTCTTCTGTGCTAAGAGAAGTAATGGACTGGGAGAGGAAACAGAGAACCAGCAGCAAAGAGAAGCATGTGTCCTACCGGTGGAAGGACGTGTTAGAAGGGAGCTGGCCCAGGCTGGAAGGTTATCCAGTGGGATTTGCTCGTAGGAAGGCTTCATTTTCTCTTATATCCTCTGAAGTCAGCCATGTCTGTGTGTGTGTGTGTTGTGTGTTGTGTGTGTTTACATGTGCGGTCTGTAGTTTAGGTTTTATAATATTCCCTGGGGGTATTCCCAAGGCCTCACATCAAGCAATCCTCCTAGAAGATGGTAGCAAAGATTCCTCCTGAAGCACCACATGTACTCACTGGGTCAGCACACACAGCTCTGTGATCATCTCCACAGCCCCAAGCCAAGAGTAGCCCCATGAGGCCCCCAGAATAGCCTAGAGGGGATCAGTCCTGAGCATATCTGAGTGGCAGTGAGGGTCACCTTTACTCCAGATGCCCTTTCAGCACCCGTTTACCTCTGCTGGCCATGTCCACCCATGCAAACTGGAAGCAGACATCTTAAGACTCTGCAGGCTGTTAACAGATTCTAACACCCGACTACCAAAAGTGTGGTCAGACCAGCAGCATCAGTGTCACCAGCATCGCCTGGACCTTGTTAGAAGTGCAAAATCTTAGATCTTTGCTACACCTACCAAATCAGAATCTGGTTTAATAAGACCCCAGGTGATTTCCATGCACAGTAAGCTTTGAGAAGCTCTGCTCTAAAGCAGCAGTTCTCAGCCTTGGCTTCACCTTAGAATCACCTAAGAAGCTTTTCCATGGTGGCTCAGATGGTAAAGAATCTTCCTGCAATGAAGGAGATCTAGGTTTGATTCCTGGGTCAAGGAGATCTCCAGGAAGATCCTGGAGAAGGCAATGGCTACCCGCTCCAGTATTCTTGCCTGGGAAATCCCATGGACAGAGAGCCTGGTGGGCTACAGTCCATGGGGTCTCAAAGAGTCGGACACAACTTACCGACTGAAAGACAACAACAGATCGATTACTTTCAAGCTGTCTGGGTGACTCAATGTGCAGCAGGGCTGGGAACCACTCTCTCAAGTGAGGCATGAATCAGTTGTTTCTCTGAAGCATATTTTTATTTTCCTGTGGGACCCTGGAAGACTGAAATAATTTCAGAATCCAGTGGAGTTCCTCTCCACTTGCGGAATCTGAGGGGAAGCAAACTAAGAGGGGAGAAAGAGTTATGCAAGAGGAGAGCAGGAACCCCTTAAATCACAGAAAGAAAGCATTTGCCTCTCTACTTGGAAGAGTCAGCTTTGATTCTGACTTAAGTCACCCTAAAGAACAACAATGAAGAATGAAGAGACGGAGCCAAAGCAAAAACAGCACCCAGTTGTGGATGTGACTGGTGATGGAAGTAAAGTCTGATGCTGTAAAGAGCAATACTGCATAGGAACCTGGAATGTTAGGTCCATGAATCAAGGCAAATTGGAAGTAATCAAACAGGAGATGGCAAAAGTGAACATTGACATTTTAGGAATCTGTGAACTAAAATGGACTGAAGTGGGTGAAATTAATCCAGAAGACCATTATATCTACTACTGTGGGCAAGAATCCCTTAGAAGAAATGGAGTAGCCATCATAGTCAAAAAAAGAGTCTGAAATGCAGTACTTGGGTGCAATCTCAAAAACAACAGAAAGATCTCTGTCCGTTTCCGAGGCAAACCATTCAATACCACAGCAATCCAAGTCTAAGCCCCAACCACTAATGCCGAAGAAGCTGAATGTTTTTATAAAGTCCTATAAGGCCTTCTAGAACTAACACCTAAAACAGATGTCCTTTTCATTATAGGGGACTAGAATGCAAAAGTAGGAAGTCAAGAAATACCTGGACTAATGCAAATTTGGCCTTGGAGTACAGAATGAAGCAGGGCAAAGGCTAATAGAGTTTTGCCAAGAGAACACACTGGTCATAGCAAACACCCTCTTCCAACAACACAAAAGAAGACTCTACACATGGACATCTCCAGATGGTCAATACTGGATTGATTATATTCTTTGCAACCAAAGATGGAGAAGCTCTATACAGTCAGTAAAAAAAGACTGGGAGCTGACTGTGGCTCAGATCATGAACTCCTGATTGACAAATTCAGACTTAAATTGAAGAAAGTAGGGAAAACCACTAGACCACTGATTATCTAAATCAAATCTCTTATGATTATACAGTGGAAGTGACAAGTAGATTCAAGAGATTAGATCTGATAGAATGCCTGAAGAACTATGCACAGAGGTTCGTGATATTGTACAGGAGGCAGTGATCAAGACATCTACATGAAAAAGAAATGCAAAAAGGCAAAATGGTTGTCTGAGGAGGTCTTACAAATAGCTTCGAAAAGAAGTGAAAGGCAAAGGAGAAAAGGAAAGATGTACCCATTTAAATGCAGAGTTCCAAAGAATAGCAAGGAGAGATAAGAAAGACTTCCGCAGTGATCAATGCAAGGAAACAGAGGGAAACAATAGAATGGGAAAGACTAGAGATCTCTCCAAGAAAATTAGAGATACCAATGGAATATTTTGTACAATGATGGGCACAATAAAGGACAGAAATGGTATGGACCTAACAGAAGTAGAAGATATTAAGAAGAGATGGCAAGAATACACAGAAGAACTATACAAAAAAGATCTTCATGACCCAGATAATCATGATGGTGTGATCGCTCACCTAGAGCCAGACATTCTGGAATGCAAAGTCAAGTCGGCCTTAGGAAGCATCACTACAAACAAAGCTAATGGAGGTGATGGAATTCCAGTTGACCTATTTCAAATCCTAAACTATGATGCTGTGAAAGCACTGCACTTAATATGCCAGCAAATTTAGAAAACTCAGCAGTGGCCACAGGACTGGAAAAGGTCAGTTTTCATTCCAATCCCAAAGAAAGGAAATGTCAAAGAATGCTCAAACTACCACACAATTGCACTCATCCTCACACGCTAGCAAAATAATGCTCAAAATTCTCCAAGCCAGGCTTCAACAGTACTTGGATCACGAACTTCCAGATATTCAAGCTGGATTTAGAAAAGGCAGAGAAACCAGAAATCAAATTACCAACATCCGTTGGATCATGAAAAAAGCAAGAGAGTTCCAGAAAAACACCTACTTCTGCTTTATTGACTATGCCAACGCCTTTGACTGTGTGGATCAAAACAAACTGTGGAAAGTTCTTAAAGAGATAGGAACACAAGACTACCTGACCTGCCTCCTGAGAAATCTGTATGCAGGTCAAGAAGCAACAATTAGAAATGGACATGGAACAACAGACTGGTTCCAAATCAGGAAAGGAGTACGTCAAGGCTGTATATTGCCACCCTGCTTATTTAACTTATATCAAGAGTACATCATGAGAATTGCTGGACTGGATGAAGCACAATCTGGAATCAAGATTGCCAAGAGAAATACCAACAACCTCAGAGATGCAGATGACACCACACTTATGGTAGAAAGCGAAGAAGAACTAAAAAGCCTCTTGATGGAAGTGAAAAAGGAGAGTGAAAAATTTGGCTTAAAACTCGACATTCAGAAAACTTAAGATCATGGCATCTGGTCCCATCACTTCATGGCAAATAGATGGGGAAACAATGGAAACAATGGCAGACTTTATTTTCTTGGGCTCCAAAATCACTGCAGATGGTGACTGCAGGCATGAAATTAAGACACTTGCTCCTTGGAAGAAAAGCTATGGCCAACCCAGACCGCGTATTAAAAAGCAGAGACATTACTTTGCTGACAAAGGTCCGTCTAGTCAAAGCTATGGTTTTTCCAGTAGTCATGTATGGATGTGAGAGTTGGACTATAAAGAAAGCTGAGCACTGAAGAATTGATGCTTTTGTACTGTAGTGTTGGAGAAGACTCTCGAGAGTCCCTTGGACAGCAAGGAGATCCAACCAGTCCATCGTAAAGGAAATCAGTCCTGAATATTCATTGGAAGGACTGATGCTGAAGCTGAAACTGCAATATTTGGCCATATGATGCGAAGAACTGACTCATTTGAAAAGACCCTGATGCTGGGAATGATTGAAGGATGTAGGAGAAGGGGACGACAGAGGATGAGATGGTTGGATGGCATCACCGACTTGATGGACATGAGTTTGAGTAAGCTCTGGGAGTTGTTGATGAACACGGAAGCCTGGCATGCTGTAGTCCATGCGGTTGCAAAGAGTCAGACATGACTGAGGGACCGAACTGAACTGAACTGAACTGAAAGAGCAACAAAAAATTTCTATTTTATCCATGAGAAAAATGACTTACCCATTCCAAGTGTACTTCCAGAGCAGGTTACTGTAATAAATAAAAACACAAGCATTTAAAACAGATCCATTGCTGTATTTGAGATACAGTTTAAGAAAGAATAATAGGAAAGTGAACAAAGAATGAATAAGAACCAGCTTGTGTAATAAGAGGAGACACCTGCTAACAGTGTTAACTTGGATAAGTCATTTCATTTTTCTGTGCCTCACTTTGTTAGGTGACAAGAATAAGAATGCCAAACTCATAGGGTTGTTATAAGGATCAGTCAAGCTAATGCACATGAAGCCCTTAGAATAGTAGCTAGCACACAACACTCAATAAATATTAATCATTGTTATCATTTACAATATTATCCTAATTATAAGATTAAGGCATCACTGATATTGGGGAAAGAAACACCAAAAAACAAAACCAACAAACTTCCCCCAAATGCATAGTTTTTATCAAGGAGCCAGAGCAAAGATAGATTCCCTAACCTGAGTCTGGACACCCAACCCTTACTAAAGGGCAAAAACTATAGGCTTGAGATGGTACCCCACCAAAGGATATTAGAGTTCCAACTAACAAACCATCAGAGGAAATGTCTCTCTAAAGGTTAAATTGTGAGTATGAATTAGAAGAAGAAGCAAAGACTTCAATCATTTACTTACTGGCTGTATTATCATAGAGAAACACATGAACTCTTTTATTCATTCTTGTTTTTTAACTTAAAATATATATACGGTAACAGTTATATGCAAAGTACTGAGAGTCTAAGAGATTACCATTTATCAAAAATTACAGACATTCAACTCACAGAAATATGGTGTGGTGACAATAATGTGTGCTGTGGAGTTATAAAGGAAAGAGAGAGATGAACTCAGCCTATGAGAACTGGAGAAGACATCACAGAGGAGGGGGAATTTGGGTTGGTAGAGTTCCCTTGGTTAGGCGGGGCAGAATTCCAGGCAAAGCGAGGAGTGCAGCATTAGCCCAGAAGCACGATGTGGCATGGTATGTGTGTGTGGTACGGGCAGAGGGGTGTGAATGACTCCATGTGACTAGAGAATACAGTCCTCTCAGTAAGGATGTTGGGGAATGAGCCGAGAACTGTACTGTCCAACAGAGTAGCCGCTCACCACATGTAGCTATGAGCACTCCAAATGTGGCAGGTCTAAGCTGACATGTGCTGTGTTAAACAAACACACACAAGATTTTGAAGACTTACTATGGAAAAAATACAAAATTTTTATATTGATTCCATGTTGAAAATTAGAATATTGTGGACATATTGGATTAACTAAAATATATTAAAATTAATTTTGCCTATTTCTTTTTACTTTTTTAATGTGGCTACTAGAAAATTTTAAATTTTCAGACTTACATTAAATTTCTGTTAGTACAGGTATAGAAAGATAGAAGGGGGACAGATTGTAAGGGATGTTAAATGCCATGCTCAGAGGACTGTATTTTATCCTATGGAGCAATGGAAAACTTCTGAGAATTTTGTAGCATGAAAGATAGACAATTGGGTCCGTGTCCTGGAATAACTCTAGCGATAGTATGAAAACTGGTAAGAGGGCAGGAGGACAGGACTGGTGTAATAGTATAAGGGAGAGGTAGTGAGACCCTGAAGTACTGAAGTAGCTATAGGAATGAAGAGAAGACGTTAGATTTAGAAACCATCATGGAGTGAAAAGAACAGAGCTTGGAGACTACTTAGATATGGGAGGTGAGGGAGAGGGGAAGCTGACTCCAGGGTTTTCAGGCATGAATACCTGAAACAAGGATGATGGGAGATCAGAAACTGCATGGGACCAGAAATTCCTTTTGGTCTTAAAGAATTGAAATGCCTAGGGTGTATCTCTAAGTAGAGGTAACATGTTTGAATATGGATTTAGCGATCAGAAGAAGAGAAGGGTTATAGGTAGAGATTTGGGAGCCTTTGAATCTCAGTTTTCTCACTTATAAATTGAAGAAAATAAAACTGTTGAACTTACCTTATAGAGTTATTTTGAGCATTCAGTGAAATATTGAATGTGAAAACACTTGATAAATTTTGAAGCATTATGCAAATACAATGAAGTATCATTATTGACCTGTTGGCTCTGCTTCCTCAGAGCTCATCTTCAACCCAGCAACCTACTCCTGTCCCTTCTCATAGGGCCATGTGTTTGGGCCAGCTTGTCCTCTGGACAAGATAATGAAAAAGCAAGGAATCAGAGCATGACAGCCAAGGATAGTGAGAACACCCCCTGAAGAGGAACTGGCCTTGTTCCATCACCAGGAGCCGTCTTGAACCTTCTTGTCACCTACACATAACTGGAAATTTTAGATTCTGGTTACTAGTAAAGCTTTCTAAGCCAACATTTATTGCTCTTACTGCATTCCCCTGCAGAGTTATAGGACCTCACCATCTCTTTATTTTATAAATATACATGAAAAAAATATGGCAATGCCCTGGGCAAGGTAACAGAAGGTGCTGGAATACAGAGCAGGAGAATTGCTCATCTTTTTCTGTCAGCTCTGGTGAAATGGCAGTTGCTGACAGTCATGTTTTTTGATCACAGACTGTCTGCCCACTCATATTTCCAAACCTAGCTTATGATTTATAAATTTGTTTTTCTCTGATCCTCCAACTCTCCCTCAATCATAAGTCTGAATCTGTGCAAATAAAGTTTCAAGTCTCTTAATTTCAAATATTCCATGTTGTCTGTCATTACCTCTAACCATGGTAAAAACCTATCTTCAAATCTCAAGCAGAAAATTGTTTTAAATCTGTTTTACTGTTTAAGCAAGCATCTTGTCCTTTTTCTGAAGAGAGGGACAGTGATGAAAGGAGTACCTCCAAATCAAATTATAATAAAGCATCGCAATTCCAAAGGAGCTTGGGGTCCCCTGTTGCCAGAATCTGCCTATAGGATGTAGAAATGTCATGCCCGTTTTGATCTTCCTACATAGCAAAGTGTGATTACTCTTAGCCTTCATTCACAGATTGAGTCAAGGGTTAGTTTTAAATAAAGGGTCATAACTTTCTCTACCTGAATATATTTTTTTTGGACAGAAAGTAAGCTTCAGTCCTGTCTCAGCAACTGGTGAGACCATCACGGTATACACATCCCCGCAGGGTATCTCCGTAACATCACAGAAACTGAGGCCAGCGCTTGGGGCACATGTGAAGATGCCTTTGGAACCATAGAGGTCGGTGCTATAATTGGCAGAGCCCCTGGAGGCCTGCCAGTGGATCCGGATGCCATTAGGGCCCAGCCTGTATAATTTCACCCCCAAAGGGCAGCAGGCACCTGAAGGATAAAACAAACACATCACTAATTTCATCATCACCACAAACCTACCCTCTGTTACTATGGGAAACACTGTAAGTGTCCTACTCTAAATAACAACTGATTAGAGCAAGATTTGAGGGGGTACCAAGTTCCTTCTGTACTGGGCCACGTGATGAGAGATCCATGTGTAAGGGTGAGGTGGGGCGTGAGTTTTCAATAGAGAACAATGGTGAGTCCAAGTTCTTGGCAGATACGAAGGGCATATGACTCAAACTTTATGAGTCAAATACACAGAATCCTTGTCAAGATGCTTCATGACATCCTACCCATAGTACCCATAATGTGATTTTTGTTGTTGTTGTTTAGTCACTAAGTCATGTTTGACTCTTTGCAACCCCATGGACTGTAGCCCACCAGGCTCATCTGTCCATGAGATCTTCCAAGCAAGAATACTGGAGTGGGTTGCCATTTCCTACTCCAGGGGATCTTCTCAACCTGGGGACTGAACCTGTGTCTCCTGCAAGTCTCTCTCATTGCAGGCAGATTCTTTACCACCGAGCCACTGGGAAAGCCCATAATGATTTTAGTGGGATTCAATTTAGATATAATTAACTGCATTCAGCTTTAGTTGAAAAGACCTAAATTTTGCTGAGCTGAGTAACATGATCCTTGTTGCTGGTCCACACTTCATCTGTGCTAGCTGACTAGGTACTTTCCCTTTTTCCTTTACTGAATACCTTGAGCAGGCCACACATTAGGGTCAAATGGTGGATTCCTCAGTACACAAAATGAAGATGTTATTGCATAATAATTTAAAAAATCAATTACAGATAATTAGGTCCCTTTGATTCATTCTTTTAAAAAAGGTTTTTTAGATGTGAAGGTAAGCAGTAGACCATATTTCCAGAACTAGATATCAAGGTGAGAATTTAGGCAGCAAGTCTAATTAAAGAAATTATAAAGCAGATTACATATGTGTTCTGGGCTTCCCTGGTAGCTCAGATAGTAAACAATCTGCCTGCAATGCAGAAGACCTGGATTCAATCTCTGGGTTGGGACAATCCCCTGGAAAAGGGAATGGTTACCCCTCCAGTATTCTTGCCTAGTGAATTCCATGGACAGAGGAGCCTGGCGGGCTCCAGTCCATAGGGTTGCAAAGAATCGGATACAACTGAAGCGACCACTCCAGTATTCTTGCCTGGAGAACCCCATGGACGGAGAAGCCTGGCAGACTACAGTCCTTGGGGTCGCAAAGAGTTGGACATGACTGAGTGACTAACAAAAGCACACAAAGCAACTTAGCACATAGCATGCAGCAGGCTTTAAATGCTTTCACATCATAATCATTCCTATTTCTCTTACCAATGAGGAAACAGAATCAGGGAATAAGATAAGGCCGGACAGTTTAAGAAGCCATATCTTTAGACTCCTAAGTTGAAGACTCACTCTCCTACCTTTGGGATGGCAAAATTTTATTTTTTAATTTCTTTCTTTCTTTCTTTTTTTTTTGGTCGAAAGACATAGGGGATCTTAGTTCCCCGACCAAGGATCAAACCTGAGCCCCTTGTAGTGGAAACATAAAGTCTTAACCACTGGACAGCCAGGGAAGTCCTATGAAAATTACATTACAACTCTCCCACCCCATGCCGCAGAGCAGATGCAGCTAAATGGTTGTGGTACTCACGCTCCCATTAAGCCTGAGAGGCATCCCATTAATCTTGAGAGGTTTTTTTTTTTTTTTTTTTTTTTTATGAAATAGTGCTCTAAACAGCCACTGTAGTGGACTAGAATCACACCAGTGAAATCTTATTTGCTAACCCTGTGCCACTCCTTACTTCCCCCGCCATTCCCTAATTGTTTGGTCTTTGTGAAGAACAAAATGCAATACTTTCTCTTGAAGCCTGTTAAAATAAAATACCATAGAAGAAGCTGGAGTGGTTTAGAAGAGAGAGGTAGTAGCACAATAATATTGAGAAACAAAAAATTCAAGCCAAATAGAATATGTGATCTAAATGCTTTCTGAAAACTCTACCAAACTGAGTTATTCTGCTCTGCAAGTAGCTAGGGCATATAAAAACCAGACCTTCTTTGAGAGAAAGTACACTTGAACCTTGTTATCAGGGAGTTCATTCACCAACTACCAACAGGGTTTCCCAGGTGGAGCTAGTGGTAAAGGACCCACCTGTCAGATGCAGGAGACAAGAGACACAGATTTGATCCCTGGGTTGGGAAGATCCCAGGAGGAAATGGCAACCCACTCCAGTATTATTGCCTGGAGAATCCCATGAAAAGAGGAGCCTGGTGGGATACAGGGCCACAGTGCCATGGACAGAGAAACCTGGCAAGCTACAGTCCAGGGGTTCGCAAAGGCTTGGGCACAACTGAAGCGACTCAGCATGCACCAACAGAAGCCTCTGAAGCTTTGAAGTTCTGAATCAAGAGGAAAATTGCAAACATTTTAGAAAGTAATCTGAATTTACCATGCAAGCTTGGTGGAGAGGCAGCATGCTTTTAAATGAGATGGAAGGGCTATGTCTGGATCTATAATAGTCAAGGTCCCTGTTGATACTCTAGAACTAGAGTCTAAATTTCACTTACTAGAGGAATAACTTTGGTAGGCACAGTCCGCAGTCAATCCAGTGGCACTAACTGCTTTTACTGCCACTGTGTAATTGATGCCGCATGCGATGCATCCCAGGAGGCAGTGGTTCTGATGGGTGTGACACTTTGACTGTCCCGTTTGTGACTGCAGAACTGTCACATAGGTTAGGGCCCCACTCCCAACAGTCCAGCTCACGTTGATTACTGATTGAGTGACCTGAGTTACCATCAGACTGGCTGAGCAGCACGGCGCTCAAATGTGGAAAAAGAAAACATTGGGAATTTATTTCCACTAAGGGTTATATGTGAAAAACAACCAAACATGGTATTATGTCTGTTTCAGTCAGTATCCTAGATTCCTCAAACCTTTAACTGTTAATTAAAATATCCTTAATAACTATAAATGGAACATAACTTAAAAATTGTGAATCACTGTATTGTGACTTATATGACATTGAACATCAACTATACTGCAATAAAATTTTTTTTAAAACTTTAAAAATGTCCTTTTGTTAAGCAAAATCTCATTCTCTCTGATACATTATTTAACATCATTGTATATAGCAAGTGCTTTCCCCAAGAATGAAGTTCACTAACTGGCTGTGGGTAATTAATGTGAGGTTCTCCCCAACTTTTTTCAGTATAAGAAAGAAATTCTTCGTTGCTCTTCAGCTTTAATGATTCCAGTTGCAAATTTCAATGCAATGGTTGCATTTACCTCTTCTCCTAATATGTATGATCACATTTGCAATAAAATGTGTTTTGCCTTTCTCATGCATTTCATAGTACATAGTTGATCAGTCAGTTCAGTCACTCAGTCATACCCATGGACTGCAGCACGCCAGGCCTCCCTGTCCATCACTAACTCCTGGACCTTGCTCAAACTCATGTCCATCGAATCGGTGATGCCATCCGACCATCTCATCCTCTGTTGTCTCCTTCTCCTCCTGCCCTCAATCTTTCCCAGCATTAGGGCCTTTTCCAATGAATCAGTTCTTCGAATCAGGTGGCCAAAGTATTGCAGTTTCAGCTTCAGCGTCAGTCCTTCCAATGAATATTCAGGACTGATTTCCTTTAGGATTGACTGGTTTGATATCCTGACAGTCCAAGGGACTCCCAAATTCTCCAACACCACAGTACAAAAGCATCAATTCTTCGGCGCTCAGCTTTCTTTATAGTCCAACTCTCACATCCATACATGACTACTGGAAAAACCATAGCTTTGACTAGACAGACCTTTGTCAGCAAAGTAATGTCTCTGCTTTTTAATATGCTATCTAGGTTAGTCATAGCTTTTCTTCCAAGGAACAAGAGTCTTTTAATTTCATGCCTGCAGTCACCATCTGCAGTGATTTTGGAGCCCAAGAAAATAAATTCTGCCATTGTTTCCATTGTTTCCCCATCTATTTGCCATGAAGTGATGGGACCGGATGCCATGATCTTAGTTTTCTGAATATTGAGTTTTAAGCCAACTTTTTCACTCTCCTCTTTCACTTCCATCAAGAGGCTCTTTAGTTCTTCACTTTCTGCCATAAGGGTGGTGTCATTTGCGTATATAAGGTAATTGATATTTCTCCCAGGAATCTTGATTCCACATTGTGCTTCATCCAGTCCAGCAGTTCTCATGATGTACTCCGCATATAAGCTAAGTAAGCAGAATGACAAAATACAGCCTTGATGTACTCCTTTTCCAATTTGGAACCCAGTCTGTTGTTCCATGTCTGTTTCTAACTGTTGCTTCTTGACCCGCATACAGATATCTCAGGAAGCAGGTCAGGTAGTCTGGTATTTCCTATCTCTTGAAGAATTTTCCAGTTTGTTGTGATCCACACAGTCAAAGGCTTTAGCATAGTCAATAAAGCAGAAATAGATGTTTTTCTGTAACTCTCTCATTTTTTCGATGATCCAATGGATGTTGGCAATTTGATCTCTGGTTCCTCTGCTTTTTCTAAATCCAGCTTGAACATCAGGAAGTTCTCAGTTCACGTACTGTTAAAGCCTGGCTTGGAGAATTTTGAGCATTATTTTGCTAGCATGTGAGATGAGTGCAATTGTGTGGTAGTTTGAACATTCTTTGGCATTTCCTTTCTTTGGGATTGGAATGAAAACTGACCTTTCCCAGTCCCTTGGCCACTACTGAGATTTCCAAATTTGCTGGCATATTGAGTGCAGCACTTTCACAGCATCATCATGAGCATCTGTAATTCCATCACCTCCACTTGCTTTGTTCGTAGTGATGCTTCCTAAGGCTCATTTGACCTCACATTGCAGGATATCTGGCTCTAGGTGAATGATCACATGATTGTGGTTATCTGGGTCTTGAAGATCTTTCTTGTATAGTTCTTCTGTGTACTCTTGCCACCTCTTCTTAATATCCTCTACTTCTGTTAGGTCCATACCATTTCTGTCCTTTATTGTGCCCATCTTTGCATGATATGTTCCCTTGGTATCTCTAATTTTCTTGAAGAGATCTCTGGTCTTTCCTATTCTGTTGTTTTTCTCTCTTTCCTTGCATTGATCACTGAGGAAGTCTTTCTTATCTCTCCTTGCTATTCTTTGGAACTCTGCATTTAAATGGGTATATCTTTCCTTTTCTCCTTTGCCTTTCACTTCTCTTCTTTTCTCAGCTATTTGTAAGGCCTCCTCAGACAACATTTTGCCTTTTTGCATTTTGATAGAAAACATATCATAGTTGATATAAAAGCTTATAATAATATAAAAGCTTTAAACTTATATAAAAGCTTAAAATATTCTTAGCCACCTAAGAGTACCACAAACAGTTCTCAACTCTTCAAAGATCCATTATACAGCATATAGGATATCTGGAACCTTCCTGCGTATTTGGCATTGTCTCTATTCTGCTGCCTTTTATGTTTCAACTTATCTGGTCCAAAGTGCCATCTATCATTTTATATATAAGAGAAAATAAGACCCAAAGGCTTTAAGTAATTTGCTGTATTTCATTCATACACAATGTTATCAAGTAATAACAGCTTTCTTTTATCAAGCTCCTACTGTGGAGCAGGCACTATGCTAAGTGCTTTGCAGCATAAAAAATGTAATATTCACAACCACCCAATGAAACCATTATCCTCTTCTACCAATTAGGAAACTGAAACTCAGAAAGCCTTTTTTAGAGAAAGATTTGAAAGGGCTGAACTAAAGAAATAAATAATAAGCCAGCTCATTTGGTCACTTGTTAGATGCTTTGGTAGATTGTGTCATGGGGGAATATGAAGTCAAAGAAATGTTTCTCCAGAGTCAGTGGATTCCTCCTTTGATGTTGGTGTATGAATATATTAGAGCCTTCAGATGATATTTATATAGAACTTGTGTTGAACGTTTTCTAAGACTGGGGCTCTTTGAAAGGCTTCTCTGAGATGAATGTATTTCTATCACACCTAGGGTAAATCAAGTGATAAAGTTCATGTTCTAAAACAATTTCTAAGGACCTCACTGGAACTAAGGTTCAAGTTGCAGTTGCTACATACCCATTTCTTTCTTTTTTTTAATTAACTTTTATTGGAGTATAGTTGTCTTACAATGTTATGTTAGTTTCTACTGTAAAGCAAAGTGAATCAGCCGTACATGTACATACACCCCCTCCGTTCTGGACTTCCTTCCCATCCAGGTCCCCACAGTGCATTAAGTAGAGTTCCCTGAGCTACACAGTAGGTTCTCATTAGTTGTCTATTTTATTCTTAGTATCAGTAGTATATATATATATATATATATCAATCCCAATCTCCCAATTCCTCACACTCATATCCCCTTTCCCCCTTGGTATCCATACATTTTTTCTCTACATCTGTGTCTCTGTCGCAGCTTTGCAAATAAGATCATCTATACCATTTTTCTAGACTCCTCATTTAAATGATATTATATAATATTTACTTTTCTCTTTCTGACTTCACTCCTTATGAACCCTCTAGGTCCATCCCTGCCTCTGCGAATGACCCAGTTTCACTCCTTTTTCTGGCTGACTGGTGTTGCACTGCATCCCACTGTACGCAGCACGTACCCGTCTCCAGAGGCACAGTGTAGCTGGGCAGGCTCCGTCCTGCGGGCGTCTCGGCCACGGCGGTGACAGAGAACAGGGAGCCGCAGGGCAAGCCCCCCAGGGTGCAGGACTCTCCGGTGCTGCTGCACTGGTGCAACCCTTTCTCTCCCCGGGCAGTCACTGTGTAAGTGGCCTCATCATTAGTGGATTGCCAGCGCACATGAACCATGGAAAAGTCATCCTTTGAAATACTTTTGATTTCAGGACTGCAAGGAGCTAAGAGATTTTAGATTATGAACTGAAACAGAGTCAAGAAATATCACATGTGACATTTAGTCTAAAACCTGTTTTCTCCCCTAAATGAGATGATTACTTTCAACCATACCTTGTGCTCAGGCCATATTCCTAGAGCCTTTGTGTGGAAACCTTGCTGACATTGACAGATGGTATTAGATTCCCATAGCATTAGGCTAACTGGAAAATGTTAAGGAGCCATTTGAACTCCAAAAGCAGAAGTAATTAAGACAAACATTTGCACCTTCATGGTGTGACTATAGGCAGGTGCCCCAAAGCTGGGAGGATGTGAATGGCTGAGGTAATCACCAGCCAAGCCTTCCACTCTCCCCAGGGTTTCCTGTTTCTTGCTGTCCTCTTTCCCTTTTCCACCTTCTCTTCTGCCTCTCCTTAGCAAGAGGGGCTCTCAGGGTCCCTCCCAAGAGTCATTAGTGGCAGTTAACCACTTTACCAACTTGCTGAATGCCTTTCCTGAGGGACATAGAGGGGAGCCATCCAGACATCGGTGAACAGAATCCTTGCTGTACCATACCTGTGGTTATGAATTGGGAAGTACATGACGTATTGCTGCCCCGGACTTCGCTGAAGGAATACACCGTGATGTTATACTTGGTGTCACACTCTAGAGCAGAAAGCGTGCAAGCCGGAGCAGTGTCATTACACTCAACCACATTGAAGCCATCCACAGCCCTTGTTCCATAAAGTTCGGCACCTCGGACGGGAGACCAGACAATCTCTACCCTGTCACTGGACACCAGCACGGGGTTAATGTCACTAGGACAACAGGGAGCTGGAAGCAGGAGTAGAGAGAAGAGCGTCAGTACTGGAGCTGGGCTGTCAGAGGGGCACTGAGTCCTGGCGGCTCCGTGCCCAGGAGCCTCTGAAGTCACTGTAAGAATCTCCGACAGGTCTGTCCAACTGTGACCCTGGCCTGACACCCACCACATAGAGGATAACTTCTCTCTGCATGACAGTCAAGGTTATAATAAGCTCTACCCTATCGACACATCCAGCTGCTCCCCACACCCCCTGCCTCACCTGACTCCTTAGTTCCCCACCCAACATGCATGTTTTTTCCCTATGTTTCAGAGACTGGGTCCCTTCTACTGGAATGTGGGACCCTTCTCCAGCCTGACAAAATCATATTTAGTCTAACTTCTAGATCCTATCAGTCTTTCCAGACACTAAACTAGATAAAACTAAGGGGTGGAGGAGAGGAGGAAGCATTGCATTAGTACATTTTAGACGAGCCCTACATTACCTCATGGACAAATTGTGACAAATGCCTAACTCATATGGGGTTTCTCTGGAATGCTCTTGCTCCACCGACATTCCTTTCATCCTTAAAGATCCAGTTCAAAACCACTCCTTCTGGAAGGCCCTTAAGAACTTATTGATGGCCTCTGACTCCAAATTCCAAAGGCACCAATTAATTATTTGATTCCCTCATCCTGATAAAAATGTATGTAATCCAGCTAGTATTGTTATTTATATAGTTGTATTATTGTATTCTTATTTGTACATATAGTTAGTTTTGAGCCTCTCACTCCATTCATTCTTTAAAAATCGAGCATTTCCCATATGCCAGTCATACTATGATCAGCATTCAGTATGAAAAGATGAATGAGATATAATCCCTGCCCTGTAGAAGGCCCAAGTCTAGTGTAGGAGAATAATAGTAACAGCAATAAAGCTGCTAATAAAAATATTTGCACTGTGCTTTTCTCACACACAAAGACCCTTTCATATTCATGTACTCCTGATTATTTGTCCCATTTTTCAGTGGTGGATACTAAGGGACTTAAGGAGGTAGACATCATTATTTCCACTTTACAAATGAGTTAGTGGTCAAGTTAGGACTTAAGCCCAGGTGTCCTACTCCAGAACTCTCTACACTATGTGGCATCCTTGCCACTGCACCTCTGTCTTCTGGGCTTGGAGAAAGAGTGAACTCTGAGACCTAAGGATTGCCTCCCCTTCAGGATCCAGAACAGGGATGAACAATGAGTAGATCTGGATGGAGGGTTCAATTTTTCAGAGCAAGCTTAAATAGCAACAATCTTTCCTTTCTGCTCACTCCTAAACCTTGTATTCTTGTTAAGGTTGAGTCCATTTAGTCCAAATTCCCCAGGAAAGAATGTGAAAGAAGAGATTCACTTTCCATTCTTGCACCAAGCATGACTCCCAAGTAGTCTGAGTCAAGGAGTGCAATGGGTGGTCCATTCTGCTACTGAGTTTAGTGAACTCAGAACTCCTTTTACAAGCATCAAGCAGAACTCACCTGTGGTATAATTAAACACATCACCCAAAGGACTCTGCCCTGCCTTGTTATAGGCAAAAACACTAATAAAGTAAGTGAAGCCACACTCAGATAAGAAATTGCACTGGGTGAGGGAAGTGTTGCAATGTACTTCCAAGCCATCATCACTCTTCACAAAGGCCACATAGTAATCACCCAGATCCACACTGGACCAAGCTACAGACAGGTGGCCAGGAGGATCTTCTTGGATTGCCACTTTTCCAGGTGCACAAGCAACTAGGAAATGATAAATAAAAAGGAGTGTGAGAGTACTACAGGAGATTTTCTTTGCAGCTTTGCATAGTAGCTGTTCACTAAATGTTAGTTTACATTCTCAAAACACACAAATATTTCTAAACTGAAGTGTAGACTTCCACATATGTATGTCTTTATCTCTTTGATAAGAACGAAAGAGGGAGGATATCTAAACACATATTCCAAGCTACAGACATTCCCTGTTTATCTTAAAGAATAGCTCCTACCAGGCCTAGGTCTGTGAAACATGATGAAAATAAGGGGCCGCACGGCTAGAGTTGTGATCAAACTGGATCTTAGAATATTTACAACTTTACAAATGCAAAAGAAAATAGACTGATTAGTGAAAGATCTGGAAGAGGAAACAGGCCTCCTAATTTTCAAAGTGCTTTTTCCAATGCATGAGATCTGGTTTCACTATCAACATTATTCAGACTCATCAGAATGTTCAACTCTATGCTTTCATTTAGAGTAGGCTTTTGCTTTCATTTGTTCTAGAGCATTCTGGAACATTGTCATGTAATTATTTCTTTCCCTAAGGTCAGTCACTTGGGCTTGCCAGCCCCCCAGTGATCTCGCTCCTGTTTACATACCGGTTTTCAAAGTCACTGCTGAAGTTGATCTGCTAGATCCGGCATCATTACTTGCTGAAACTGAAATCAGGTACTTGGTTCCACACTGGAGAGGGTAGATGGTGCAGGAACTGAAAGCTGTACTGCAGCTCAGCCTGGAAGAGTCACTCAAAGCCATCACGGTATAGTTGAAAGCTCCTTCTGTCGGTGCCCATGAAACAGATGCCTTCAGAGCACCACTATCAAAAGAGACTTGAATGTTGGCAGGAGTACCTGGACCTACGTTTTTGAGAAACAATTGATATTTTGCAGTAGACTCAAGAAGCAAAGTAAGATTTGGCCTAGCAATATGTGGAGCTTGGAGGATGAAATACTTCATTAACAGGATAATTGCAAGTGTACAAAGCATAAAATTGGGATTCATGGTACCGGAGAACTGGTAATACATCCACCATTAACTATGCAAACTCGTAACTAGCTATGACTTTGCCAGGTTATTTAATCTTCTTGTTATTTATTTTTTTAATGTGCAAAATTGATCTAATATCAGTCCCTAGCACATATAAGTGCTGAATAAACATATTTTGAGTTTTTTTACAATTAATTTATTTGGCTATGCCAGGTCTTAAATGTGGCATGTGGGATCTAATTCCCTGACCAGGGATTGAACCTAGCCCCCCTGCATTTGGGAACATGGAGTCTTAGGCACTGGACCACCAGGGAAGTCTCAATCAACATATTTTGAATATGTGAATGAGTGAACACACAATCTGATAAGTGATTGAAGTAATTAAATGAAATTATAAATACAACAGGCTAGGAGAGGCAAGTGGGTATGTCATTAAGAGGTAGATAAAGTATTCTATTATAGATTGATAAAGTTAGATTAGCTTCAGCAGCATTTCTTCTTTACTTTTGATACATGCTAAGACATGTAAGAGCTTTTAGGTCCCTGTTGTTAAAAGAAGAGCAGACTTCCATTCATTCTGAACCAAAGGGAAGGAAGGAAAGTGTCAAGTGTGATGGCCACACAGGAAGGCAGTTTTTTATTGTCTCCAAAACAATTTCCTCTATGCTTAAAAGTAGGCCTTCCTTTCCTCAGCGTTGTCCCCTTAAAAAAGCTTGAGGAGTGTTCTCCTGGGCTGGGAAAGAGAAAAGTTGGCCTCAGTTCTCTGGAATCTGTGCTATAATAAGGCCCACCTCACAAACCTTCAGTTCAGTTCAGTTGCTCAGTCATGCCCAACTCTTTATGACCCCATGGACTGCAGCACGCCAGGCCTCCCTGTCTATCACCAACTGCCAGAGTTTACTCAGACTCATGTCCATTGAGTCGGTGATGCCATCCAACCACCTCATCCACAAACCTTAGAGAACAGCTTATGTGCAGAGACTAGCACCCTTCAGACACATATGGTGGGGTGGGGGATGTGGGATTAAACAGGAAAGGCTCTGTATGAGGAAACTGGGACTCAACTCATCCTCTGCAAGGCAGACATGATCCATGTTTCTCCTGTAGGTCGTCTTGACAGGCTCTTCTTCTGCTATATGGTCAGCTCATCTGCAGAGGCAGATTTCCTCTGGGGTAATGCTGGGCCCAAGGCTGGTAGCAGTCATCTGCAGTATTTCAGGACAATCTGATTTTCCCAAATGGGGCATGAGAAGCACCAAAAAGACATATATCAAAGTCTTCACCCCTAGTACTCCAGAATGTGATCTCATTTGGAAATAAGGTCCTAGCAAATGTAATCAGTTGAGATCATTAGGTTGATCCTAACCCAATATGACTGATAACCTTATAAGAGAAATTTGGGGATGCCCCTGGTGGTCCAGTGGTTGAGAGTCCACCTGCCAATTTGAGGGGAAACAGGTTTGGTCTCTGGACTGGGAAGACTCCACATGCTGTGGGGCAACTAAGCCTGAGTACCACAACTACTGAGACCTGTGCGCTCTAGAGACCGTGCTCCGCAATAAGAGAAGCCAGTGCAATGAGAAAGAGAGCCCACACACTGCAACAAACAGTAGCCCCCACTTGCCACAACTAAAAAAAGCCTGCATGAAGCAACAAAGACCCAGAGCAACCAAAAATAAATAAATAAATAAATAAATAAATTTTTTTAAAAGATAAAATTTGGACACAGACATACACATACAGGGAGAATGCCATGTAAACACGAAGACGACCATCTACAAGCCAAGGAGAAGGGCCTGGACATACCATTCCCTCACGGTTCTCAGAAGGAACCAATCCTGCCAATTTCTTGCTTTCAGGCTCCTGTGCCCTTCAGAGCCATGAGATAATAAACTTCTGTATTACCTGGTTTGTGGCACTTTGTTGTGGCAGCCCTAGCAAACTAATACAGAGTCTAAGTCTAAGGTCTCTAAAACTTTTCAAAACATAGGGAAAGAAGTGAAGAGGAAGACTTTAAGAGACCAGTCCTCTGCAGGAGATGCTCTCCCTGTTCCCCAGCCTGATGTAGATGCTCCCCTGAGCCACCCTGTGCCTGTTAGATAGTTAGTGTTAGTCACTCAGTCATGTCCGACTCTCTGTGACCCCATGGGCGATAGCCCACCAAGCACCTCTGTCCAGGCAAGAATTTTCCAGGCAAGAATACTGGAGTGGGTTGTCATTCCCTTCTCCAGGGAATCTTCCCAACCCAGGGGTCGAACCCAGGTCTTCTGCATTGCAGGCAGATTCTTTACCATCTGAGCCAACCAGGGAAGCCCCCCTGTGCCTGTGCATCCTTCCATCAAAGAACCTGTTACCCAGAAACATAACCATTGATTTACACATTGGCCCCTCCTGGGACACAATCAATTCTTTGGGTGTAGAAATCATGCCTTATTTGATTTTATAGGCTCATCAGCTAATGATGCCCAGCATATAGTAGGCCCTCAATAAATGTCTGTGGAAGGAAAGAATGAGTGAATGCCTTGGAAGAGGCCCAGGGAGACTGGTTTATCACAGACACCCTAATTCACCAGGCCCATCGTGAATCACCTGAGGGCCACCTTGTTATAATTTCTCCCTAGAAAAGTATTATGAAAGGCAAACCCTTCTCTTCCTCCTACATTTCAACCTTGGCTCATAGGCAAGGCAACTTTCACTGCCCCCCAAACTTAGGCACTGTTGGAGAGGACATTTCTGTTTTCTTTCTGCCTTTTCCTTGGACATCCTCAAGAGATGAAAGAGTTAATCTGATTGGTGAGTCTGACATCTATTAGCTCTCATTGTGGACTTTCCCGGTGGCTCAGTGATAAAGAATCCGTCTGTCAATGCAGGAAACAAGGGTTCAATCTCTGGGTTGGGAAGATCTCCTAGAGGAGGAAACGGCAACTCACTCCAGTATTCTTGCCTGGGAACTCCCATGGACAGAGGAGATTGGATGGGCTACAGTTCATGAGGTTGCAAAAGAGTCAGACACGACTTGGAGACTCAACAGCAGGCTTTATTGTCAGAGGACGGCTCACTGCCTCAAGAGAAGGAAAAATCTGCCCCCTTCCCTCTCTCTCCCTCTTATTCTTTGGGCTCGTAGCCGCAGCTCAGTTTGGGCTTCCAGTTATCATGCAGTAGGAGGCCCTGTTTGGGTCTCCCTGGGATAGAGATGGTGAGAACACACACTGTGCTCCAACTTCTCGGCCGACAGCTGGAGGAGAGGTAGTGGGAAGCCCCATGTTGGCCTCAGGCCTACAGTGAGGGCTTTGGGAAATATGTCTGAAATATCAATTTTCACCACAGCAGGAAGCTTAAAATTCTCATCATAACAGGAAGTTTATTTTGCTTGCTGCTATGTCTCTAGGGAAATACCACCTCAAAATTTGGACACGCTCATTAAATGTCTGCTGAATAAATCCTTGTTTGGCCCAATTCTTTCTGTCTATACTCTTGGTCTAAACCTAGGAAGGGACAAGAGGTAACTGGAAAACCTAACAAGAATTGTTTCCTCTGTGTGATACTGAACACGCATGCTGAATCAGCTACGGGGTGGTGGGGCGAGGTACACACGGGGTTACGGTGCCCTATGTACTCTGAGCAGCATTTCTTTACACATGCAGAAAGCGTTGAAACTACTTGGGAGGAACTGCCAAGGCACTATAAATAAGCTCATAATAAGTTGAAATATCTGCTGCCAGCTGCTCTGTGCTTATCGCTTATCGCTGCTCTCAGCGGCTGCGGTGCACAGCCCTTCTCATTAACCAAAAAGGAGAATGACTGGGCCTGAGCTGAGAAGTCCTTACTTGTTCTCTGATTGCAGGTGGAGTCATCCCCAGGGGTTCCATTGGCATTCCATGCATAGGCCTTTATGGTGTAGAGAGTCCCTGCGGCTAAACTGGTGAATGTCAAGGAGGTGTTGGTGGTATTCTCTTTCCATATTCTACCCAAACCATTAGCTTGCATAATGGACACAGAGAATCCAATGGCCATATATACAGCTTCCCACTGCACAAGAATAGAGTCTGAACTTGGAGAGCTTACTTGTAGAATAGGTGCCGCCAGTACTGCAAAGACAAAAACATGTGCATTTGCATTACAAAAGAGCGATCAAGGATAATTCAAATTTAGGAATAGGAAATTTGAGCTTGATTATCCATATTATGAAAAAAGTATTTGCTTTGCAATAGGATTCATGTCAGAGTTGTTATAATTGTTATTTAAATGTGTATTAATTACGGATGACTCAGCAGATGACTCAGAGTGGCAGGTGGCACTAGTGGTAGAGAACCTGCCTGCCAATGCAGGAGACATAAGAGATGTAGGTTCAATCCCTGGGTTGGAAAGATCTCCTGGAGGAGGATATGGCAACCCACTCCAGTATTCTTGTGTGGAGAATCCCATGGACAGAGGATCCTGGCAGGCTACAGTCCACAGGGTCACAAAGAGTCCGACACGACTGAAGTGACACACACAGCAGAGGAATGGGGAACACAAATTCTAATATTAGGCATACCTTCACCTGGAAGTTGGTAAGAAATTAGATAAAACCTCTTAATCATAAAATAAATTAATAAGAGAAAAGATAATTTCTACTATTTTAATGTGCACACAACCTTTTAGAAGTATGCCAAGGTATAACTTCATCAAACCAATTTAAGTCATGCTGATGACAAACTCGAACTGGTTTTATTTCAAATAAGTCAAAGAGCAGCAAAATTACTCCTACGTGTTCATCATACCCCATGGTCTTCATAGATAACCGAGGTTAAAAACAGAAATCTCTTTTTCAGAGATTTTAAAGCAGGGATGCTTTTAACAATGCCCCAGAATGGGTTTTATTTTCCAAAGCATCTGGAATTTAAATACCACCTCCTCCACAGTTATTTGAATTTCAAAAAAAAAAAGTCACTTGGTGGCTTTCACTTCTGGGCCCTGAATCATCAGCACTCACAAGACAAAGAATTACATCATACATTTGCAGCCTCAGTACAATTGATTCAGGTCACAAGCAATTGCTCAGTAGAGGATGAGCATCCAGCTACCTGTCTTTGCCTGTTTTGGAGGTGATGCCTGGCTTTTCCCCGCAGGACTGATGGACCTGATGGTGATCTGGTACCAGGTTGCAGCTTTCAGGCCAGTCACAGTGCCTGGGGAATTGGCCACCATGGTCTCAATGACAGTGTTCCCGTCTTTGGCCGTGAGGAGGTAACTGGTGGCTCCTGGCACTGTAGCCCATTCTACAGTGATACTGTTGCTGATTTTTGAATAAGCCTGATCAATAGTGGGTATTTCGGGAGCTAAAAGAAAATTTGAAGATGTACATTAGGTAGAGTACCTATAAGGATTACTTCTTTCATCATTTTACTTTTCAAACTGTCACTCTCATGCCATCCTTCAGGTATAAACTGTGCCCTTATTTTCCTGATCAAGAAAAAAAAAAAAAAGAAAGAAAGATGAAAAAAAAAAAAAGGGCAAAGCTACTACTTTTCAGAAGAGGGTCAGAAAGCTCAAAGTTCCCATTCAGGAATGGAATTTCAAAGAGGTTTTTTCCAGTTGCCTCATTTTGTACTTTTAAAACAGTTGAGTAAGAATGGGGAATAATTTAGAGAAAGAACTCTGAGGGGAGGGAGAGAGGGAGGGACTTCACTCTGGAGGATTCTACTCCAACTTGGCATCTTGTGAATCCCCAGCCTGCTTTGTCCTTAATCTTGCCTCCCTGCCCCACAACTGTGCTCCACTGCCTCCAGTGATGGTCCACCTCCATCCCCCATCCCTGCCATAGCTGTGATTTCCATTCATGCACTTTGCACACTTCCCAAGAGGTATTTCATCTAATGGAAAAGAAGGGAGAATTGAGTTGTTTCACAATTGCTCCATTGTACTATTTTAATATCATCAGAGTGTAACAATTTTCAGATTCTTCTATATAAAATATTTAAAATTAAACTTTATTCTCTCCTCCTCTATCAAAATATCTGCCCCAGAATAAGAATGAGTTGCTGTGGTCCCTCATCACCTGACCTGGCCATGGTTTGCCAGGAGGCAATGAATGCTTATGTCATGAGTTTACACTAGGCATTCCTATACTTTGGGAATGGGGTAGAAGATACAACATGGCAATCAGATTGTCTACTCTTCAAAACTCCACGGACACAAAAATGCTCTAGGTGTAGGAGGTCTAAGTGGAAGAAAAGGACAAACCAAAATTGCTGGGTTTTATGTTTAATGAACTGCACTTGTGGCCTTCCCTGGTGTCTCACTGGTAAAGAATCTGCTTGCCAATGCAGGAGATGCAGGTTCGATCCCTGATCCAGGAAAATCCTCTGGAGAAGGAAATGGCAACTCACTTCAGTATTCATGCCTGGGAAATCCTACGGACAGAGGAGCCTGGCGGGCTACCGCCCATGGGGGTGCAAAAGAATCCAACACAACTTAGCAACTAAACAACAACACTGCTTTTGCTGGGTAAGATCACTGTATGCCAAATTCAAAACTAAAGGGCAAAACAAAACTCTAGGGCAAAGAGGAGAAGGACAAAGAGGAGAAGGAGTAAATACAATGTGAATGTGTGATTTGCCAGTTTCAACTCCCTCCAGCAGACCCCCACCTGCCAAATCGCCTTGTGCACGACACAGACAACCTTCTCTTTCTGTCCCCATGGCCAAGAGAGCTGGCTTTGGCAGCATCTCAGAAATAACCATGCTGCAAGAATGGACAAAGAGTCCACTGTGCACTGGCCAGACATTCCTTGAACATCACCCAGGACTGTCTCCTTCACCATCAAAAGAAAACTCTGACGGCTTATATATCCTGGGGAAAAGTTTCAGGGGTTCATCTTAACCATTTGCCAGCAGAAGCTGACTCTGCAGGAAGTGCCTATGTCCCCGCTCCCCCTGTAGGATAGAAAGCCCCCACAGGGGTCTCACATTTATTCCTCCTACACACTCATCCCTTTTCTGCACCCCAGTTGCTTGTCCTTGCCTAGTCTTTGGCCTTCTTTCCTCTGACTTGTGGTATCTCTCAACCTCTGCTTCTTCCTTTGACCCCAATATTCATCTTATGTCCTGTTAGCCAGTCCTGCTCATTGCAATGGACTGATTTCCTGGACAACTGACAACCAAACTAGACATTGCTGTGACAGTGCCTTCATGGAGTGGTTCATTCGAAAGGCATCTAAAAGGCTGGCATGACCCAGACTATCTCCCCACAGGCATGTCAAGGAGCCTGAGGATTCCACAAACTTTGTCCTATTGAATTAATCTGGGAGGGGCACAGTTGCCCAGCATAGTAGTTCATAAAGCCAGTATCAGCAGGATGAAACACAGAGTTTCATGGCAAGAAAATAGAAAAGGATTTAGAGTCCAGAATGTTTGAGCCTTGGCTCTGCCATATGCTTCTGTCTGTGAACGTGTACTGAAGAAGAGCATGGCAACCCACTCCAGTATTCTTGCCTGGAGAATCCCAAGGATGGAGGAGCCTGGCAGGCTACAGTTCATAGGGTTCCAAAGAGTTGGACATGACTGAAGTGACTGACCATGCATGCATCAACATGTACAAGTGATTTCACCTCTTCTAGTCTCAGTTTTCTGTCTTGAATATACGGAATACTAATAATTCCTACATCTTTGAGTTTACTTTGAAATAAATATCTGCATCTTAAGATAAATAAAATATCTGCATCTTAAGGTTGTAAAGATTAAGTGAAATAGTTAATGTAAGGGCACACTGGAAGGCAGGAAGGGTTAGTGTGAGTGTGAGTGTGAGTGTGAATGTGTGTGTGTGTGTGTGTGTGAACCAGGGCTAGCAAATTTTGGGTTTGGAAAAGCCAGGCCTCATGGTACTGTCATGGGGGTGGGGGTTGCTACCAGAGGAGGTGGGATTCTGGAGGGTCTGGGGTAGGCACAGGCTGGAGAGACAGAATGCCTGTTTACACATGGCATCTAGAGCAGCATCTGACCAGTAATGGCAACCAAACCAACACCGCTGTACTATGTTTCCCTTAAAAGATATGATATTGAGTAGGACATGTAAGTCTCCATAAATCAGCAGTGGTTCTTCACTCTTCCTTAGTTCTATATTTGGCCCACTTACTGCATTGATGAAAGAGAAAAATTTATTCCCTAGATTTGCAATCAACCAAAAGTGAAACCCTTTGAGTCTCAGCATCTGTTCATTCTACCAACTCAGAGATCTAAGTTATCTCAGCTGGCCCCAGTGATCAGACACAGATAAGTAGCTGATGCCAAGAGCCCAGAGAAAATCAAAATACACACACACCAAATGAAACCTCCTATGCAGTGTCAATAAAACACTTTGCATCTGTTGAAAAGACAGGATGAATCAATAGACAGCATCATCAGTATCTCAGTCTGTCCCATTCCTTCTCTCAAATAGTGTGGGTAGTGGGATCGAAAAGGGGCCCATTTTGAGGGCTCAGTATGTTTGGGTGTTCTGGGACCCTCTAAGAGACAGCAGAGCTAGGTTTCATCCATTTAAGGCCACTTATTATTTTAAAAATTACTTCGTATTACTTCGTATGGCTAAATAGTTCTTCTCAAAGCTTCCTAGTCATCCCTGAAGGTGTCTTAACAATAAGTAAGAATAAAGTATGAGATAATAATTTTTAAAAACCTATTTTATAAGCACAGATTTTTGTGGCTCAGTCATAAATCTCTATCGCACATTTTAATTGCTTTATTTACATTTCCTTTTCTGTGGACTGAACATCATAATAAATAAAAACTGTTCTTACTTGTACTGAATTGCTGAGAGAGTTTATTTCTGATATAATTGATATTATATGGTTTCTTCAGATAATCTAAATCTCTGAACATAAATTTCCATTCTAGGGACTTAAATTTCTAGAATATATGAGCCAGGAGAAGCCTGTAGAGAAATAATCCTTGCCTTCAGTCATTTATTCAAGAAAAATGGTGATAACATCTTCTAAAAGAAAGACTTTTTCTAGCTCTGGGTTATCATTGTCTATATTTTATGGATGCAATATTAGAGGTATAAAATCTTTTTTATTAAAGTAGAGAATCTTGAAATTTTGATCAAAACTGTTTCTAGCTCTCTCCTCTAATTCCTTAGAAGACAAATAAGAAAACTTACATAAATTAGGCTCTTCAATATAATTTTGTTTCTTTGACTGGAATGATAATCATTGCAATATTTTACTAATGGGTAACTATGTCTGAGAAAAATCTATGACTGCATGACTCTATACAACTCAAGATGAATATCTTATGAGGATGCATCTTTAAAGTTTGATCGATATATTTGTCTTACCAGTTACACTCACAATGTGAGTACTCAAAAAATGTTGAATATTTTTCTTGGTATAGCCTTTCTATTTTAGGGTAGTATAAGAATTAAAAGTGGAAATGAAAATGAAATATGGGTAGGGTAAACTTGCATTTCAGGGAATGTTACCTGTTTTTGTTGAAGCAACCTGAAAAGAAAAGTTTAGAAAGTTAGAACCATAAAGAAAAACACCATTTGAGGAAATATAAAACCTAAATCAGAGCGTAATACACTTAGAACAACATGTTTATACATAATGTGAGCAATCTTCCAATCCACACACAGTAGCGATTTGCACAAACCACTTCCCAACACTAAAATCTATCAGAAAGCAATCCTAAACAGAATTGAGAGGCTGGAGGCAGATCGTATTACTATTTCATTTTTCTTTCTGAATCTACCTAGTGACTAATTCAGTAACTGCTGACAGATTTTTTAGAAACCTTTGTCCTTAAAACATAATGATATTCTTGTCTCCTTTCACTAGTAAATTGCATCAAATTTCAAACACACAAACATATACAATCTTGGTATGGTCCCAAAGTATTTTGATTTCTATCTCTCCACCCCCAAAGCCTTTAAAAAAAGAGAAAGATATTGAATGTATCTTTTTTCCCCCTTAAATAGTTGCAGGTAGGTCAGAATGGTGAACTCACCATTTTAAGGCAGATGAGACTGAATCCAACCACAGATAAAAATTTCACCGGTGCACCAGCCATCCTGTTGGACTGAGCACTCACATGGCACTCAACACAGTGGGCAAGGTCCTTCTTGGTCTCCAAACTGGGCAGTACTTTTGGTTGCTGGGATGTGGGGCTGCAATGCTGGACACAGACCCTGGGAAGTAGCTCCTCCCCTTCTGTGTGGAGCTGACCTGTAACTAGGGGCACTTGGAGACTGGCAGGTACAGGTATTGCAAAGGCTGAAAAAAAGAAGAGAGTGGAAGTAAGCCATGCCAAGCGGGCCAAAAGGCTACTGTAACCTGGGTGTAGAATGCTTCCTTTTCTGTTAAAATTTTTTTCTAAATAAAAATTTAACAAAGCTGTATAGAAATTATTGACATAGTGGAACAACTATTTTAAACTTGGGGATTCTGACCAGTTTTAATTTCTTCTTTGTCATCTTTATTTGTTATTCTTTCTGTTGTTTCAATGCAAAGTGATCAGTTCTGCTGTTGCCTAGTGCTGGGGGGACTGGGGAGATGTTGTTTATGGGTACAAACTAGAAAAATATATTTTGGGGATTTAACATGCAACATAGTGAATATATTAATAGTTAATGATATAATATTTATAAACCTCAAAGTTGCTAAAGACCAGATTTTAACTGTTCCCAACACAAAAAAGAAATACTTATGTGATGCTATAGAGGCGTTAGATAATGCTACTGCAGTAATCATACAATATGTAAATGTATCAACCTAACACTTGTACACTTCAAACTTATGTCTCAAACTTGACGGTGTTATATATCAATTATATGTGTTAAAAAAGAAAGAGAGAGACAGAAAGAAAAAGAAAGGACAGGAGCATGTCCCTGCACTGAGAAAGACAATGGGAGGTCCTTGATGAGCACATTAAATTCATTCATCCCAGCACTGCCCTGACATTCTAGTACCTTTTAGATCCAGGGCCATCTTTCTAGTTCAGACCCTTAATAATAATTAGCATTTAATCCAAGCACTATAATATTAACTCTAACAATAAACAAGGATGTAAATGAATAATAAAAATTGTTAACTGACTTGTATGAAATCATACTAGTATTAAATGGTAGAGCTTGGATTAAAACTCATCAGTCTGACTCCACTTCCAACCAAAATGGGGTAAAAGGAACTGATTTTACCCTCTCTGTCTTCAAGACTTATTATAAATCTATAGTAATTAAGACAAATTAATTATAAGGATTGGTATCAAGATAGATAAGTAGATCAACAGAGCAGAATAGAGTTCAAAAATAGACCAATATGTATGTGACAATTGATTTTCAAAAAGGTATAAAGGCAATCTAATGGGGAAGAGTCTTTTCAACAAATGATGCTGAGGGAATTCCCTGGCAGTTCAGGGACTTCCATGGTGGTTCAGATGGTAAAAAATCTGCCTGAAAAGCAGGAAACTTGGGTTTGATCCCTGGGTTGGCAAGATCCCCTGGAGAAGGGAATGGCTAGTCACACTCCAGTATTCTTGCCTAGAGAATCCCATGGACAGAGAAGTCTGGTGGACTACAGTTCATGGGGTTGCAAAGAGTCAGACCCGACTGGGTGGCCAAGTACACACACACCAGTGGTTAGGGTTCCACACTTCCTCCACAGGGGACATGAGTTCAATCCCTGGTCGGGGAACTAAGATTCCCAAACTGAGCTGTGCAGCCAAAAAAAAAGGAAAAAAAAAAAAAAACACCAAAACCCAAAAACAAGTGATGCTGAAAAAATTGGTCACCCATATGCTAAAAACATAAACATTAATCCATATCTCACACCATATAAAAATTAACTCAAAATGGAGTATAGTCCTAAACATAACATCTAAAACTATAAAACTTCTTTTCAAAAAAAAATAGAAGAAAACCTTTGTGACGTTAGGTTAGATAAAGATTTCTTTGATATAATACTCAAAGCATGATCCATTGCAAAAATTTGATAAATTGGACTTCAACAATATGAAGACTTTCTGCACTATTCCAAGAATGAAAAGACAAACCACAGACTAGGGGAAAATATTTGCAAATCACATGTTTTACATAGGCCTTGCATTCAAAAATGTTTTAATTAAAATTTAAAAAATATATATATATGTATGTATGAGTATGTGTATGTATATACTCCCAAAACCCAGTAATAAGAAAATAACTCAAAAAACAGGCAAAAGATTTGAACAAACATTTCACAGAAGAAGATATATACATGAAAAATAAGCACATGAAAATGTCCTTAGGGAGATCCCTGGTGGCCTAGTGGTTAGGATTCCAGCTTTCACTGCCATGGCTAGGGTTCAAGCCCTGGTCAGGGAAGTTCCTGCAAGCAGCGTGTTGAGGGAAAAATAAATCCTTAACATTATTAGTCATTTAGTTCAGTTCAGTTCAGTTGCTCAGTCGTGTCTGACTCTTTGCTACCCCATGAATTGCAGCACGCCAGGCCTCCCTGTCCATCACCAACTCCCAGAGTTTACTCAAACTCATGTCCATCAAGTCGGTGATGCCATCCAGCCATCTCATCCTCTGTCATCCCCTTCTCCTCCTGCCCCCAATCCCTCCCAGCATCAGGGTCTTTTCCAATGAGTCAACTCTTCGCATGAGGTGGCCAAAGTACTGGAGTTTCAGCTTCAGCATCAGTCCTTCCAATGAACACCACCCAGGACTGATCTCCTTTAGGATGGACTGGTTGGATCTCCTTGCAGTCCAAGGGACTCTCAAGAGTCTTCTCCAACACCACAGTTCAAAAGCATCAATTTTTTGGCACTTAGCTTTCTTCACAGTCCAACTCTCACATCCACACATGACCACTGGAAAAACCACAGTCATTTCACTCCTAGTTGTTCACCCAAGATAAATAAAAGCATATGCTTATATAAAAACTTGCATGTAGTGTACATACAATGGAATATTACTCAGCCATAAAAACGAACAAAATTGGGTCATTTGTAGAGTTGTGGATGGGCCTAGAGACTGTCATACAGAGTGAAGTAAGTAAAAAAGAGAGAAACAAATATCATTTTATTAATGCTTATATGGAATCTAGAAAAATGGTATAGGTGATCTTATTTGCAAAACAGAAACAGAGACACAGACATAGAGAACAAATGTATGGACATCAAGGGGGAAAGGTGGAATAGGAGGTGGGATGAGTTGGGAGATTGGGATTGATACATATATACTATTGATACTATGTATAAATTAGGTAACTAATGAGAACCCTGCTTATTTAACTTATATGCAGAGTACATCATGAGAAATGCTGGGCTGGAGGAAGCACAAGCTGAAATCAAGATTTCCGGGAGAAATATCAACAACCTCAGATATGCAGATGACACCACCCTTATGACAGAAAGTGAAGGGGAACTAAAGAGTCTCTTGATGAAAGTGAAAGAGGAAAGTGAAAAAGTTGGCTTAAAGCTCAACATTCAGAAAGCTAAGATCATGGCATCTGGTCCCATAACTTCATGGGAAATAGATGGGAAATCAGTGGAAACAGTGTCAGACTTTATTTTTTTGGGCTCCAAAATCACTGCAGATGGTGACTGCAGCCATGAAATTAAAAGATGCTTACTCCTTGGAAGAAAAGATACGACCAACTTAGATAGCATATTAAAAAGCAGAGCCATTACTTTGCCAACAAAGGTCTGTCTAGTCAAGGCTATAGTTTTTCCAGTAGTCATGTATGGATGTGAGAGTTGGACTGTGGAGAAAGCTGAGCGCTGAAAAATTGATGCTTTTGAACTGTGGTGTTGGAGAAGACTCTTGAGAGTCCCTTGGACTGCAAGGAGATCCAGCCAGTCCATCCTAAAGGAGATCAGTCCTGGGTGTTCATTGGAAGGACTGATGCTGAAGCTGAAACTCCAGTACTTTGGCCACCTCATGCGAAGAGTTGACTCACTGGAAAAGACCCTGATGCTGGGAGGGATTAGGGGCAGGAGGAGAAGGAGATGACAGAGGATGAGATGGCTGGATGGCATCACCGACTTGAAGGGCATGAGTTTGAGTAAACTCTGGGAGTTGGTGATGGACAGGGAGGCCTGGCGTGCTGCGATTCATGAGGTCACAAAGAATCAGACACGACTGAGCGACTGAGCTGAACTGAACTGACTGAATGAGAAACTACTGCATAGCTCAGGGAACTCTACTCATTGCTCTGTAGTGACCTAAATAGGAAGGAAATCCAAAAAAGGGGGGCTACATGTATACATATAATTGATTTACTTGGCTGTAGAGTAGAACTCACACAGTCCAACTATACTCAAATAGAAACTTTTTAAATTTTACAGAGATAATTCTAGCAGTATTTTTAAAATAGCACCAAAATGTAAGCACATCAAGTCCAACAACCAAGCTGAATGACAAACAAATGGACTAGTAGGTTAAGTCGCTCAGTCGTGTCCGACTGTTTGCCAGCCCGTGGACTGTAGCCCACCAGGCCCCTCCTTCCATGGGATTCTCCAGGCAAGAATACTGGAGTGGGTTGCCATTTCCTTCTCCAGGGGAGCTTCCCGACCCAGGGATCAAACCTAGGTCTCCCGCACTGCAGGCAGACGCTTTAACCTCTGAGTCACCAGGGTGAGCAAACAAATGGACTAGTACTTAGTAAAAAAATGAATGAACTATTGATACATACAACATGAATGTATCTCAAAATAATTATTCTGACTGAAAAAAAGCCAAGCCTATATATATATATGTACATATATATATGTAGACCTATCCAATTATATAAAATTCTAGAAAATGCAAAGTACTCTGAAAGCCGAAAGCAAATCAATTGTTGCCTGGGATGGCAAAGGGCAGAAAAGAGGGATTACAAAAGTACAATATATAAATGTATCAAACCAACACTTGTACACCCCAGATTTATACTTCAAATTTGACAATGTTATATGCCAATTATATTCAGAGAAGGAAAGAAAGAAAAGGACTGGAGCATGTCCCTGCAGCGAGAAAGATAGTGGGAGGTCCTTAATGAAAACATTAAACTCATCCATCCCTATTACCATCTGCCATTTACAAGAGG